TCTCTCTCTCTCTCTCTCTCTCTCTCTCTCTTTTTCCCCGCTTCCTAAGGGTACGGAGACGGAAACATTTATTTTTCATATATATTTTCCCTCAACTTTTTTTGGGGTGTGCGTGGGGGGACATATATATTATTTTTACTCTCTTCGGGTAGGTTAAAAACCAGAGAGAGGGGGGAAAAAACAAGAGGAGAGAAATCTGAGGGGGGAAAAAGAAAAAGAAAAAAAAAGAGAACACATCGCTTCCGTAACAGAGAATGGGGATCTCTTAATGAATGGAGCCGGCCGCTGAGCTCGCCTTTTCTCTCACTTTTCACCCAAAACTTCAATGATACATACCGCTCCAGGAGGTCTAGGTGCTGGATACATGTCTCGTGTATGGGCTGCGTGGATCCTGCCGTTATAAAAGAGGTCCTGTAAGGCTGTACATCCTCCAGAAGAGAGAGAACCCAGAGGAAAACCTTACACACACCGCACAACACTACCACCAAGCTTGCCTTACTCACCACTTCACACTCAATTTACACAAACACTAAACACTCTACACTTTTTTTCCTTCACTTGAGGCTTTGGTCTGATTATCCACTTTCTATATATTATTTTTCTAATAAATTCACTCTCATAAATCCACCGAATATTCACAAATTCTGCGAGGAGCGAGAGCAAACCATTGTTCCACTCGGAGCTTCAAATCCCGTAATGGCGTTCTGCATCCACCGCAATAAGGCGTCGGTATTGGCTCGCGCGGCAGCCAATCAGCGCCCGGGATGGCCCTGTGACTCCGCCCCCAGAAACAAAAGACAGTCGGCTCCACGTGGAGTCAAGAACAGCTCGTAGGGTATTGATTACTGTACTTTAGATGCTTGGTAAGCCGTGTTATATCTAAGAGTAAGCAGTCATGAGGGAGCTACGGCCGTTAATGTCCCCACGCAAATAAGGATAGTTCTCTTAATGTGTCGAAATAACAATACTTGACTCACGGCCACTCGAAACATAAATATATAAAGCCAAAATGCATGAACATGAAGTTGTGTGTAGCCTCGCTGGCCGGGCACCGCGCCGTGTCAATTCCAAACACAACTAAATCTAAACGGATCAAACAAAATGCAACACATATGTATATTTCTTTACTTACCACCTGAATTTTCAACAGGCGAATCAATCTTTGTTATTTTTTACTCTTAATTGCCAGTGATACAATATATTATCCTCTCTTCCCGTGTTCGTAGTAATTTATACAGCCACGTCCTGAGATACCCTCATTAAGCATGTAGTGAGCACCCTCCTCGTTCCCCTGTTCACTAAACACGCAAGAGATCGGGTAACAAACTGCACAACCAGACACTCACAAGGCCTAGCTATCTTAGTAATTGTTCAAACAACTAAGTGTTACACGCTAATGATAATTGGCGTGAACCGTTAAATATAAGACGAGCGCGATTCTTGCAGAAAGCCATGCGGGGAATGTGTGCATGCGTGCGTGTCTGTGTCTACCTGCGCTTGTTGCCGGCATGCACAGCGCTCTCGTGTGGACACTATGCGTCGAGATGGCCTTCCACATGGCATGAGAATCGGTCTATGTGGGCGCTGCTGCCTCCGTCGATGCTCCTTCTTCTTCGTCGTGCTGCTGCCAAGGCTCGGGAACTTCCTCCGCAAACACCGCGAAGAGCTGTACGCGGACGCCATGCGCTGAGAAACCCCCCAGCGCACGGCGTGGAAGGCGCTCCACGAGGACCGTACGAGGAGGACAGCTTTCCCGCATGACATCACGGCCGGCATTAACGTCCACTTCACTCCCTCGCCATATTTCATGAATGGATGCTGCTTTTCCGCGGTAGTTCCCCCATCCATCAGCGGCGGGTTGCGCTATCGGGCCTGATCTTACGACGGCGAAATTGGGCGGCCATTGAGCGATTGCCGGTGAGTTAATGTCCGGTATTTTACGCGTTGCTCTCCAACTACGATTTCTCCCTTTTTGGGGGAAGGACGTACGGTGGGGATTAAATTCGGTGTAGTTTGTTTGTCTTTTTCTCTTCCGTGTTTGTTTTTCTTCGCTTGAAACTTTTATTTCTTCCGTTTGTTCATTCTTAGCATTCTCTTTAGCTTCAGGCTTTGTGATTGACACATGTCACCGTAGGTATTCATGAAATGTAAATATTCCTTTACACACTCACATTATGTATATATATATATATGTATATTTATGTTTGTGAGTATGTATGTATGTATGTATGTATATATATATATATATATGTATCTATATATAACTGTATATGTGTGTGTGTGTGTGTGTGTGTGCGTGTGTGTG